GTTTAGAGTTCAGGGTTTAGGAGTTTAGGAGTTTAGGTCTAGGTTTTAGGGTTTAGGGTTTAGGGTTTAGGAGTTTAGGTTTTAGGGTTTTAGGGGTTTAGGGTGTACGGGTTTAGGGTTTAGGGTTTAGGGGTTTAGGGTACCTTGAAAGTTGCGTACCTTGAGCCGCGAAGTCTTGTCTAGTGGCCTGAATGATCAGTAGTCGCCAGTCATGACAGTCCTTCACCGGTCTATTTTGCAGTGCTAAAGCATAGAGCCGACGCGCCCGCACTTCGGGGTTTAGGGTTTGGGGTTTAGCTTAACCGGTGCCATGTGACAGTGTGTGAGGATTACGTGCCAGCGCCGAACGAGTACCGGGTGCCGTCGGCCTCTCTGCTGAACGGGGCTGTGGCCTAACCGCTAAAGTCCTAAACCTCTTCGGGCTTTAATGTAGGGGCTTGAATACTCAGTACTAGTATTCCTTTCTAGATACACCCCCTCTCTGCAGGCAACGGTCTTGCTCTAGCGGCATAGCGTAGTGCTCGCAATTAGAATCAGAGTAGAGCAAGAGCAGCAGCCTCAACAGTTTTGTAATGCAGCACGACCACTACAGCTCCAACAGAGCTTTCGTTTTAGGGACCATCGCAGGAGTGACAGGCATGTCAACAGGCACAGGAGTAGCAGTGTGTGGCAGCTAGTCTTGCCATGCAAAGAGTAGATAGGTGGAGGTCCGATTTTTTTCTTCGATCCGCAGAACCAAGGACTTAGCGGAGAAGTACGACCGCACAACCCCCAGCTGGACGCTGCAGCCACGGAACGACGCCAAGATGCGCGAAGTCCCTGCGGCCTGCAGTGAGTGGCTTTAAGCTTGGGGTAATAGTTAGAACAGGCTGGGTTTCTTCATTGTTAGGCACTGCAACAGATTCGGTGCTCGGCATTTAGGGCCCCAGGTTAAGGTTGGGCTTGGTGATTGAGACCCTGAACGTTACGGCTCACACTCTGGCCCTAAGCCTTTGACCCCAGTTAAAGCTAAGATCCGACACCCTGAAAGAACCCTAAAGCCCAAATCTTTTACGATAAGTCCTGAAAGAACCGCTAAACCACACACCTTAAACTTAAAGCTACGATCCTAAAGCCATGAACCCTGAACCCTAAAGCCCGCACCCTAAGCTGCGAGCCCGAGCTTCGTGTGGAATCAGCCCAGGCTTACTGCGACAACCTCTACGGTCCGTGGTCATCTTTCGGCTAGCACGCTTATGTGATTCCTCTTCCTCTCTCCAAAAACCACCAGCCAAGCTAAAGCCGAAGACCAGTAGAACCCGTATCCCCAGCTCCTAAAGATAATGTAGGGCCTAAGTGATTACCTATACTAGTTTGTGTTCCTTATTATAAGTATGGGATACTGTGCCCTGGGGGTTAGGGCTTTCGAGGAGGATCGAAAGGACACGGAACTTCCTGCATCGGCCCGTGGTGAATGCCTGCACATACCAAAGGTATGATGCCTCTAAGCCTTCGGTGCAGAATGCACCGAAGGCTTGCTTTGGTGCGACTTCTTGGGGTCTAGGAGTAGGTGACACTGGCGATGCCATGGAAACAAGGAGCGTGCTTGAATGCGTCTCTGGTGGCTCCATTCCATCAGTGGACCCTGCCAGTGCAGTAGACTTTCTGACAGCAGCCTGTTAGTGGATGTGCTCGCGCTCTTGGAGCCCCTTTCAAGCCGCACAGCCTCACAGCCTCCCCGCCTCCCTGTCAGGATGGTTTCCTTCATGTTGCTCCTTGCAGCCTTCCTCCTGCATGCACGTGCGGACGGGGAGGCATGCGAGGCATCCCCCGCTCCTGTTGGAGACAGGGAAGAGCTGCCCCTCTTGCAGATAGGCGCTGCGAGCCACAGCGCCCACGCCCAAGGCGCTTGTTCTTCAGAAGACATGGCTGCAGAAGAGCTGCTGGAACAGGCTTTGCGTGAGCAGCAAGCTCAGTACAACATCCAGTCCGATCTGGAGGAGGCTTTCTCGTACACGACGGGTGAAGTGCAGCATGCGTACGAGTCTGTCGAGGCAGACGCGTCGTCGACCTTGTCAGGTGATGACTTGGAGGATGACAGCACGAAGGGGAAGTGGCTGAGCCGATTGGCAAAGGTGGGGGAGTGTGTCACAGAGATCACCGTAGCTGAATACATGCCTATGCTTCCTGAGTGGATGTTCAAAAAGAGAATCCTCAAACACGATCCAGCAGAGAAGAAGGAGAAGCACGAACGTTACGGGGGCATCATTTCCACGGTTCTTGGGTTTCTCTGGCCGGAGGACTCCAGTGGAGAAGTGGACATTTGGTCGCTGGTTCTCAACGATGTTGAGGAACTCGTGAATGTGTCCATCCTCAATGAAGAATTGCATGAAAGGGAGGCAGACTTCCTCTCCGTGCGAAGCTACCTAACCCGATATAGCCGGGAGAGCACCATCACAGAAAAAGGCAATGACTTGTCCATTGCGCTTGCAAAGGCACAAGACATCATGAATCACCTTACTCAATCCACCAACAAGTACGAGTTGCTTCCCATCACTATTGTGGGGGCGACGTTGCACTGCGTCATTCTGCGAGAGCGGCTGGCTCATGGAGTTCGGTTCTATGGCTCAGTAGATCCGGCCTGGCTCTACGAGTTGCAGACGAATGTGGCGTACTATCAGACTTTCTTCAACTACACGTACTCTCTTTGGAGAAGCTGGAGGTTTACACTGATCGACCAGAAGGTTTACGAAGGCAGCCGCCGGCGACGCCGGACATCGGACTGCTCCTCTGTCGTGACAGACAAGCTGGTCCAAATCGGCAACGACGTCCACGTCCGTGACGGGATGCAGGGATCTAACAACCGTTGTGTCGAGATTGGTAACATGACTGCCCAGCGTATGTTGAACCAGGTCTCTGCAGCTATGGCCATGGCGATGCAGCCGATCGCCTACTTGCAGCGCTACGTGCCAGGAAGACGCCGTTGAAAGCCCCCAACTCCGAAACCCAAGCCCAACAACACCAACAGGCTTTCGGGTAGAAGCCTCGAGCCACCGGAAGCCCCAGTAGGAAACATGCCAAATCAAATCCCACAGCCCTAAACCCCAAGCTCTAAACCCTGTTTGAGGTATGGAAAAGGTCGCACCCACAATCCTTCCAGCTCTGGAGTTCATAACCGTCGGCCCCTACGCTTTTGTCACGCAAGACCTCCAAGACGGCAGCACACAGGTAAATCACGAACAATGGCCGTGACCTCAGGAACAGCAAGGGCTATAGCGAAATCAGCAGTTCATGGTTTGCATATTCCCTTGCAGGCATATCTTGTAAACCCTCGAACCAACTTCCTTGTCAACATGCTGGAGTTCGGTCCTTCCTTCACATCTGCTTGCGAAGTTGGCAAGGAGATCTCCGTTTCCAGCCTTGCATCCCTAGGCTCCACTCGCAATTCTCCGACTTTCGTTCTTGCCTCCCCTCCGGCTTCCCCTGCCCGCCGTCGTTGTTTGTTCATAGTTCCCCGTCTCCCGTCTTGTCTCTTCTCTGCATGCTCTCCTCGCGCCCTTTTACTTTTTCATCTCCTGATCTCTCCTCTCGTGTGACTTCTTGTGCCCCTTGTGGTCTCCTACAGCCTTACATGACGAAGCTGGTTTGACAGGAGTGGCAAAGTCATTGTTCCTGTAGTCGGATGGTCAAAATCGGCAGGGCAGTTGGTATAGGATGGACGTGTCTGCCGAGATGCAACCGAGATCGTCCACTCCACTTGTGGTTGCAGATGCTATACTATATTACAGCCATAGCTACAGCTAGAGCTAGAGCTAGAACTATAACTATAACTGTGCTGTTACACTATTAAATTTTTTTACTATACTATACTATACTAGCCTATACTATACTATACTATACTATACTATACTATACTATACTATACTGTTCTATACTGTACTATGCTGTACTAAGTCCTCTCGGTGTCTTGGGTCAGGGGGTGTCTTCCCGCACCCCGCTCAGTATGCTGTAAGTGTAGTACAGTCTAGTATAGTATAGTGGAGTATGATATAGTACGGTATGGTATCGTACAGTACGGTCTAGTATAGTATGCGGCGAGCCCGGGATTTTTCCGGGGCTTCGTCTGTTCGTTCAATTTCCTCTGCCTTTGTCCGTCTTGTCTGCTGTTTCGGGTTTAGGGTTTAGGACTTTAGGGTTTACGGTTTAGGGCGCAGGTGGGACATCAACGAGACCGGATTCTTGGGCCCTGGCAAAATCAGAAAAGCAAGCGCATATGCCCATGGGTGCAACGCCGTGGACTACTTCAAGCTGCGCCTGTGATGATTTCCAGTGTGAGACAGCTGGTGGAAGCCTTTGAGCCCAACCTTTGACCACGAAGGGTTTGCACAAGCCTGCACCTCTACACCGCATGGCATACTTACCCTACATTATAAACCCTGAACCAAGATGTTCGGAGTTTGGGGGCTTAGGATGCGATGCTGATGAGTTTGGTGCCTTAACCTGAGACTTCGCTACGGCGGATGGCGTGTGCAAACATCGAAATCAACACATCTAGCGATCATGAGTTGAGTCTCGGGTTGGGAATTTCTGGCGGATTTCTGGGCGCTGCTTCTGGCATTTTTACTAGTTTGCGAAAACAGATCACTTCATTTTCTTTGGGTCTGAGGACTTATGACGATGGAAGGGAGGAAACATCGGCATCCGTTACCAGAGGGAGCAATTGCGAAGACCCGGCTTACCCGGACAGGTACATCCATACCATCGAACTTCACTTTATGGATGGCAGCGATGGATGGGCTGATACGTTTGTGATAAACATGAAGTTATTCTTTTCCGACGGCTACAATACTGGCAACTGGTATGGATGCTTTTCACAGTGCCCTCTCACTCCTAGTCAATACACTCAAAAGGCAGGGTGTTCTCAACAATAAGGGACGCCAAGTTTTAGGGATCGAACACAATGTTATCATCTCGGGTTCTATATAGGGCCCTTCCTGTCTGAGAATCGCAGGTGACAGTTACAGGGGACTCCACTTACAAGCTCGTAGGCGCCGCGTTGGGTGGGGCCGGGGGATACTTCGGGTATATCAACGCGACTTTCCAATGGGTGCAGTCCATGGGGTGGTCTAATGTGAGCAGGGTTAGCTCGAGCAACAATCTCACGACCGGGCAGCGGCTGCAAGCTGGTCAGGCGCTCTGGAGCTACAACAGCTTGAACAAGCTCCTCCTTTCAAGTAGTGGCAATTTGGCCACCTACAACATGTATGATAATGTTTCGTGGCAGACGAAGACTTCCTGCGCAGAGGGCGAGGCG